GGAACTATTTCTTGCACGTTTATTTGTTAAAAGTTGTTTAACGGCTTAGTGCCCGTAAGTCATTCGCAATCGTATGCTGCGAATGCCGATTTATACTAAAGCCAGCCTTTCGACATAAGCTACTTTTCCATACGAACACAGATATATATGTATGTATATATGTAGAATATTCAGGCGCTTGACAGAGCTTCTCCTCTCATTTTTGGTGTCCGTCTTAAAGTTATTTGTAAAACAAATTGACATACAATTATATGCCGCCGCCGAAAGGCAAATGGTTTTAATGAGAAGCTTTTTCAAGTCAGAAATACACTGGGAGGTTTGGCTATGCCTGCCGAGAAACGGCCGCTGTTCGAAAAACACTTTTTCTAATTTAAATGGTCCTCGGACAGGAGATCGAAGCACAAAACTATCCACGCAACCGCGAAATATATCGCAATTGCACGGTATATAGTTTCAGCAACACAGCGAGTGGCATTTTTTGGCAGATAAATAGTAATAGTTTAGAATCATACTTGAAGAAATAAGAGCAACACAGAAACCAATCTTTAGCTGGGGGGAGAAAACACTAACAAAGATACTTGCTTAACTATTATATGTACATATGTATGTACACATAAGAAATCCATTGAACCAAGTTAGGAACATTTAAATGGAATAAAAATAAAATCCTTTTCAATATTCATTTTGATTACCTTCAATCATGATTCAATAATACAAGGTTCGATAAACTGACAGTTGTCTCTCTCGCACCGCTGCCTTAGCAGTGGCACGGTGTTGCTTCTTTGCAAATTTACTTGGAAAAAGTGTAGCTTTGCTGTGAAATCGAAGTATAAGCTTTTGTGCAATTTGTTTATTTGTATATGCATATTAAATAAGCACATTTAACTGATGAAAACATAAATTCTTTTCAAATTGGATGTTTACATAAATCTCAAAGTAGTTTTATTTTAATTTTGAGTCCTTTTGCAGTTTTTATATATGTAGCTAAATAGCACATAAATTACGTAATTCACGTAGATATATTAATATTTCGTTCAATATTTCGTTTAAAATGCCATATTTCCTGCAAATACATTAGAATTTACAAAAGGAATTTCACTACTAATTGCCTACTTTGCGTATTTATCTACTACCATTTTCGCAATAAGGGATTGCTTTCTTCTCCTTTCTCTGTCCTTCGTAAATGCAACCTTTTGTAAGGGAGTGTCAAAACGCGACTGTCAATAATTATCTAACCTTGTATTATTGAATCATGACCTTCAATAAGTATTTGTTACTGCGCTTTTTCTTGCTCTTTTGAATAACACTTTACTTTAAAGCTGATCGCATTTCAATAACAAATTAATTATGTACATAAATATGTATGTTTGTATGCATATGATTTTCTTTTGAAGCTATTCGTAAACACTGTGGCATAAATACAAAAAAATGCAATTTCATTGAAAAACATTAGTCTTATTTCAATTATTAAAGATTCAAATTTCTTGCTTTTTTTCTTGGCTCACCGCAGCGACCAGTGTGCAACGTAAAAAAAAAATATGACATAAGAACAGTTGATTTGATTGCTCAAAGAAGTGTGAGTATTATTGAAAATGCGCAACACAATTCTAAGCAGGTATAACGAATTATAGCAGCCACTGTGGTATAGTGGTTACTAGTGCGCGCTACCATTCCGTAGGGCCTGGCTTCCAGCCCAGTTTCCGAGCAATATAAAAAAAAAACAACAAAGTTGTTTTCTAATAGATAGCGGTTGCTTCCGCCAGGCAATGGCAAACCTCTGAAAGTATTTCTGCCATTAAACAGATTCTCATAAAAAGACAATCGCCGTTCGGAGTCGGCGTAAACCTGTAGGTCCCTCTGCTTTGTGTGACAACATCAAGGCCAACCCCACAAATCGGAGCGGAAGATCGGCCTTACACTAACGAATTGGGCCGTGTGAATTATTTAATTAAGTAAAAGGTCGGAAATTTTAAGAAAAACCAATTGCTTAGTTTTTATTCATACGACCAATTGTATGCGCCAATCTATTATTATTAGATACACCGGCACACGAAAAAAGTGGTGTGTGTGCTTTTAACCGGACCCAGGTACCAACCAACACGTATTTCGACCCGCTGGATCAGAATCTGAGTAAAATGCGAAAATTGGAAAAGAGGCAAAAAATTCGCAATTTATGCAATTTACTCGAAATGTTGAGTGGGAACGATTCAAAAGGACCGGAGATTTGGATTCAGCGGGTCGAAATTCGTGTCGGTAGGTGGGTCTGATTAGAAGCACACACCACTTCTTGTATGTGTCGGTGTTATTATAATAACGAATTATGTAAGATCCACTGCTGAATAGAAGGTTTTTGGGGTCTTCCTTTGACAACTAATCTTCAATTATTATCTTCTTTGGCACTTCTATGACCGGCCAGATGTCTATCAGAAGTACGGCAAGGCTCGGCAAAAGAACCTATTCTATTTATACATCTGATTTTAACAAAGTTTTTGATTCCAACACCTTGAGTTCGAATCTATAGCCCTTAGAGTAGAACTCCACAAGTATTGCAGGCAGAAGCTTGAGCGCCGGAAGGTTTTGTGGAGTTCTACTCTTAATTTCGAATGTTTGTAAAAATTATTATAGTGAGATCATATACAGAGAGGACATTGTCGAACTTTCAAATATTCTAGTGTGATAATATAGTATTGCACATACCGTTGATGCGGGTAACCGGCTTGTAGTCAGACGACACCTCACACTGTCGATTCGCAGGTGTTTTGTCACTGTCTGTGGTTAGCATTCCTAGAGTACAAATGACATCGTCGTGGTGAAATCTGCCGACGCTTTGGCGACTAATTCAAGAGGCGACTTCTAATCCAAAATTGCCCTACACATCCATCTCATCGAGAATCCCTTTTCAAATCCCCTCACTTTCTATTTATATTGGCATACCGGATTAATGCGTAAGGCGGCCCTTGAGAAGCCTAGCCTCGTCGAGCTTTTTAACGGCAGCAAAAAGCAAACAACCCCACCCACAAACATTACGTTCTTTCCGTAACAATCCGGACCGGATCCGGTAATTAGTGAATAAGCGAAAAGTTTTGCTCTCAAAAATGGAACATAATCCAGAAGTACGGGAATGCAAAAAACCACATTTCGTGCCCAGAATTTGAGAAACAGCTAATTAACGTTGTTTTTGTTTTTTTTCACTTAAATGAAAGCTCTTGGAAATTGAATTTTGGTTTCACAAATATGATTTTAAGGATACACCCAAAAAAAAACTTCTCTTAATTGAAGAAAAACAGCAATCAAAATGAAGAAAAATGGGAATGAAACAGCACTAAAGGAGTTTTATCCTCTTTTCATGCCCAGCATTTCCTCAAAATGATAGATTACATCCACGGTTCCATATTTTCATGTACGTTTTTACACATTCCACAAAAAAAAATTACGCATTCGAATTCGAGAATTTTTTACTCATTCGGAAGAATTTTCTACCTTAAAGTAAGGGAAGTTTTTCTTTGATCCAGAGATGGATTTTTGGTTCAGTGTATAGAGATTGAAAATACATCCACAGGCCATTCACTATTCCTTAAAAGCGCCAAGTAAATGCAGGCAACATGTAAACACAAAGCAGCTGATATGCACTTTGACACTTTATCCATTTTTGCCCGGAGAAAAAGTCCGGGCTATTCCGGGCACGAAGAAGAAGACATTTACGATCCAATTGTGGAATGCATGCGCTCTCTAATGCCGATTTTCTGGAGTACGGTACCGATTTCATTATCTAATTGTAAGTTGGCACAGAAGAGGAACGACTGGCGTGCTTTGTTGAACTCGGCCAAAATCTCTTAGGCTGTTACAGGGCGAAAGAAGAATAAGGTACGCAATAACGAATATGGAAGTCCAAAGCCTAGTTCGCACAAAAAAGAAGAAGCCGGCAAGTTTTAAGCGAGGTTTAGCTCACTGTAGACAGATACATGGCGAGAGCTTGGATACAGGCTAAACCATGGGCCCAGCGAAATCTTAGGGACGGCTCAGGTATTCAATCGAGGCATATCCACTTAATACAAAATAAAAGGAATCAACAACGAAATCTAAGATATTCCAATCAAAATCGACAGCAGCGGCNGATTTTCTGGAGTACGGTACCGATCTCATTATCTAATTGTAAGTTGGCACAGAAGAGGAACGACTGGCGTGCTTTGTTGAACTCGGCCAAAATCTCTTAGGCTGTTACAGGGCGAAAGAAGAATAAGGTACGCAATAACGAATATGGAAGTCCAAAGCCTAGTTCGCACAAAAAAGAAGAAGCCGGCAAGTTTTAAGCGAGGTTTAGCTCACTGTAGACAGATACATGGCGAGAGCTTGGATACAGGCTAAACCATGGGCCCAGCGAAATCTTAGGGACGGCTCAGGTATTCAATCGAGGCATATCCACTTAATACAAAATAAAAGGAATCAACAACGAAATCTAAGATATTCCAATCAAAATCGACAGCAGCGGCGATGAAAAAAAAATAATAATAAACAAATAAATAAAAATAAATAAAAAAAAATAAAAAAATATATTATTATAATATTACATACAATTGAAATACTAACCCTATTTGAAATACTATCCCTATTTTTGGGAAGTATTGTCGGTGTGGTAATCCCAGAACAACTTGTTACGGTAAGAGTTATTGTCATTTTACAGCAATTAAGCTTTATATAGGCCGATACAATAAAGAAGCACTTTTATACATTCCAATGCTTATGTTATATAATAAAATATATTTAATAATAAACCTGTCGAAATGTATCCGGTTATGTTGCTATAATTTTTATTCAGTTTACGAAAATCAAATACACTACAGAATAATAATTTTTAACTAGATGACCTTATAGCCAAGCAAGTGTGCACACCCAAATTATATTTCATCTGAAATTTTTAATTAAATATCTGGTTTGGTCATTACGTTTATAAATAGATAGCTTATTTACTGGCAAACTCAATTTTTTAATGCCTGACTTACTTTCAATTATTCACACCAGTTACTGCAAGCTCACTGAAGCATCTCACAACAACCAGTTTTGGTTTTAAATAAATACTTCAACAGTTAATTTTCACTTGATTTTATAAAAGACCAAATTAATATTTCTTCGTTATTTTCTTATTGTATCTGCACTTTGTAAATATACGTGTACATACATGCAATATTTGAATGCCCTTATTACTCGTGTCTTTATAAGTGCACAATTTAAGTCACATAATGGGAATTATTGCAATCGTTAAAATTTGCTTCTTTTCCACGCACAAATAATCGCCAGCCGGAATGCCAACAGCAATTGTTATCAAGATTTTATGTGAGAGCTGCAAATGTATATACATATGTATGTATGTACGTAAGTATTCGTGTATTGTCTTCACAGCTGCCTCTTCCGCCACAATGCTTCACTTTATGAATTCCACTGGCATTGTTAGTTCGTAGCGAAACGGAAATGTAAATAAATTAATTACACTACAAACTGCGATTGCGAATAAGTAGTTACGTGTGCGGGTGAATCAATTTTACCCACGCATAACAGCAGCCACATTAAATACACGTCCAAACATGCACCCGTCCATACATAAATATACATATGTATGCACATGTGTGTATGTATATCTAGTAATACGTTTGTAGGTGAGATAAACGCCAAGCGGCCAAGCCAAGCAAAGAACAGAAGAATAGCCACAGATGGCAATGAAAGACTTCTCGCAATTAATCTTACGAATCTAATGACTGGCCGGATGCAATTTACTTAACAAACCGAAATTTATTCACACAAATTCATACGGCTTGTAATACGTGCGTATGTATGTATGTAAGTATGTACGTATGTCGGTCGGTCACCAAAGTCCACTTCACCCAATTCTTCGTTCGGTGTCACGAAAATGCCGCTAAGTAGTTACCGGAAACGCGCCACAACGCCATGAAATGCAAAATTATACTGAATTCGCAGCACAGCAAATGAGCCTCGAGCTAAGCAAGTGAAAAAATTTCCCACTTCCCAAACAGTCACCGACCGGCATTGCGTCTGCAGAAATGGAGCGCGCACATGGTGACACTGACCGTTTGAGTGAGTTGCTTTATTGGTGGGCCACCGACGACTGAGTAAAGAGCGAAATACACCACACAAGCGGTTTGACAAACCAAGCGAAATTTCCCTTTGCTTCAAGCCATTTGTGCTGTCTATGGGGGTGTTTNCATTGGTGGGCCACCGACGTCTGAGTAAGTGAAGAAGCATGCGAGTGCACTGTCGCAGCCCCCCCTCCAACCCGCTTGGGGGTGGCAGGTGGCGGGCAAGGAATTATAGGTAAACAACAACGACCCCAACGAGGCGAGAAATTGTGCCGCAAGAAGATGCTCGCAGTTGAATAGAAATCAAACTCACACATTTTGGCATACATTCAAATAAGGGACTTTATTGAGTTGCTTCTCTCGAGCTCGCGCCGCACAGCAGCCCGTTATGAGGAAATGCACATGGCAGCAGTCGGTGCTCACTGCGCAAGCGCTAATAAACGTTGAGTTTGCACTCAAATTGAGTGAGAATTTTTTACGGTCTTAACTCAATTTTTAACACTGAGTGCAACAAGAAAACTCAATCTACGTGAGATTGTACGTGTGTTAAACTGTTTGTGTTCTAATTAAAAAAAAAAAACAAAAAAAAAATAGTTGCATTTAGGCTACACGTCAATTGGTAACGATTGTGGCAGGCCTCCCTTTTGCTTCTTCCGCTTTGCTTGCCTACACAGATAATTGATTAAAATTTGCCAACATGCAACAAAATCTACATATTTAGATAATGATGTGTTATTAACGCGAGTTTTTTTTAACAATAGGAGAATGTTAATCGTTGTCATATCGATGTGTTGTTATTCTTATTTAATTACTCATTATTGGAGACATACCCCACGTTGCTAGCAAACGGGCTTCGCCTATTTTACTACATACATACCTCTGATAAGTAAAAGATTTTAAAATAAAACAATTAACTTTCAAGCAAAAAAAACAAAACCGACTTCAATTCTCATATAAAAATTTAAGGTTAGCGTTAATCTCTTCATGATCCAATGGTCGGATTTACGCGATCTATCTTATGGGATTCTCGTGTTAACGAAAACCCTCCACCGCATGACAGCGACGTTGTCGTTGCTTCTCTCTCTCTCTCTATCAATAGCAATTTTATATGTTGATACGTTCGACAGGTACGGAAGGGCGCTCCGTCGGTGACTGGTTAAGCTTTTATTTACTCGATAGACTTAAAGATTGATACCGATATTCAGGCGAAAAACATTTCATAAGATTCATCTCTACATGTCCCTAAAGTGGTATTGATCTGTCCAAGTCTTCGAAGAAGTGGTTCCGCAGAAATCTGAATCGAACTCTTCAGATTTTGATACATTCAATAAGGTTTACTGGTTATACAAGAATCGTTATTCTGGGTTCCGAAACTGCGTCTTTAAGTCCAACAATAAAGTTTTATGGTTACGTGTCCCGTTGGTATTCCCGTCAGAAGCGGTGTTTCTGGCATGGATTCAGATGAGCCATCTTTTGTTATTGGCTGTTCTATCTTTTACCTCAACTTGTTAGAACGGTCATCTCGTGAAGGTTTGTATGCTTCCACTTTGATCCTCGAACCTCTTCTCCGACTCTAGTTTACAAACAAATATATTTTTTCACAACAAACTAATGTGCATTCCGAATTTGAGTTAAGTTAAATCATAAATACGAATTCGTGAGTTATGGTCTTGATTNCTATTAGCTTATTTGCTGTTCTATCTTTCACCTCAACTTGTTAGAACGGTTATCTCGTGAAGGTTTGTATGCTTCCACTTTGATCCTCGAACCTCTTCTCCGACTCTAGTTTACAAACAAATATATTTTTTCACAACAAACTAATGTGCATTCCGAATTTGAGTTAAGTTAAATCATAAATACGAATTCGTGAGTTATGGTCTTGATTTTATAAAAAAAATCCTATTGAGAATATGCTTCTCGTTTTTTCCCCACTTGCGGTGATTGACGCAGTAATGAAGCTCACTAGTTTGTTTTTGTTATGCGGGTACGGCAAAAATTATTAATTCCATTTATGAGCGCGCTACGCCGCTATTTATTCAGTAGAGAGATCGCGTTAACAATAATTTAGCTGTCTGCTAATAAACATTCCGAAAATGAATCGCAAATTAGCGCCTATAAAAAGCGAAGACGTCAGGTCAGAAACGGTAAAAGTGCTAAGTGGTGCTGACATTGACTTTGAACCAAATTCGCACAGCCATTGATACCTTTATATGTACACAAATACGAACGAATGATTGCATACAACACCTCCACACTGAGCTACGACACTCCACAGAAACCAAATACTCGAGCTGAAAAAAAGAGGTGTGAAACAGAAGCAATAAGACGACGGCGGGTTTCAAAGCTGCATGCAAAGGTAACTAGACAAACACATTTAAACCACAACAACAACAACAACAACATAGCAACTTAGCAATTCTTAGTAGAACCTCAGACTGCGTTTTGCTGCTGCAATGCGACGTTGCTTATTTAGTTGTTGTATTGTTGTTGATTATTCGTGGCATGGCAAGAACTACATATGTACATATGTATGTACATAGTGGGTAGTGGAATTTCCAATTGTCTTCTGCTGTTGTTATTGTTGCTTCTCTAACATGGAATATATATGTATGTATGTACATATTTCATTAGGCATAGTTTTGAGAGTGGAATGAATACAAATTTGAGCGTGAATCGATGAAAATGATTTGCCAATTCCAAAAAACGTNTGATTATTCGTGGCATGGCAAGAACTACATATATACATATGTACATAGTGGGTAGTGGAATTTCCAATTGTCTGCTGCTGTTGTTATTGTTGCTTCTCTAACATGGAATATGTATGTACATATGTACATATTTCGTTAGGCATAGTTTTGCGAGTGGAATGAATGCAAATTTGAGCGTGAATCGATGAAAATGATTTGCCAATTCCAAAAAACGTAATTGAAGCGAAACGCAGAGCAGTGGTGAGAAATTGTGATTTTCGTTAAATTTGGGTAATAAATTGTGTGGTACTTAACTACATACAAACTCTCTGAAATGAGCAATTTGAATAAATGTTAAACAGAATGCAAGTGTGTACTTATTTCTATGAGCATTTAAATCGTTATGTATTTGTTTTTGAAGTGAAACTTCTTTAGCGGCGGCTGGTTGGTTGAGAGTAAATTGGCAAAGTGAACGGAAATTGCACGCGGAAATTGCACACGGAAATAGTGCAACGGAAGCTGCACACGGAAATGGTTAGGACGAAATCTAGTGCTTCTTAAATGTATTCAAATGGTATTAATTTAACAAAAACTTGGTTAAAAAAGGTTAAAGAATAAGATTTAGATAAAGACCAATATAAGATTGAAAGTAAAAGTGAGTACCTAAATAGATAAAGAAAAGGCTAAAAATAAGAACAAAAACAANTAGAATGCAAGTGTGTACTTATTTCTATGAGCATTTAAATCGTTATTTGTTATTTGTTTTTGAAGTGAAACTTCTTTAGCGGCGGTTGGTTGGTTGGGAGTAAATTGGCAAAGTGAACGGAAATTGCACGCGGAAATTGCACACGGAAATTGTTAGGACGGAATCAAGTGCTTCTTAAATTTAGTCAAATGGTATTAATTTAACAAAAACTTGGTTAAAAAAGGTTAAAGAATAAGATTTAGATAAAGACCAATATAAGATTGAAAGTAAAGGTGAGTACCTAAATAGATAAAGAAAAGGCTAAAAATAAGAACAAAAACAAAGACGCGTAAAGATAAATGCAAAAATGAATATCAAAGTAAATTTAAACACTTTACCCATATGCCTAAGGGCAAAGGTGAAGGGGAATATGTATGTAGTTGAAGAAAATTATACACATAAGAGTGAATACAAAGAAAAATATTAAGACAAAGACGAGGATGAGCATACCGAAAAAAGTAAAGATGCAGATAGAGGACGAAAGATCAAAACAAAGGTAATTATAAAGAAAAGGATAAAGATAGATACCTGGTTTATACCTACGCANAGCATAGCGAAAAAAGTAAAGATGCAGATAGAGGACGAAAAATCAAAATAAACGTAATTATAAAGAAAAGGATAAAGATAGATACCTGGTTTATACCTACGCAAGAACCGCATTAACNGAACGGAAATTGCACGCGGAAATTGCACACGGAAATTGTTAGGACGGAATCAAGTGCTTCTTAAATTTAGTCAAATGGTATTAATTTAACAAAAACTTGGTTAAAAAAGGTTAAAGAATAAGATTTAGATAAAGACCAATATAAGATTGAAAGTAAAGGTGAGTACCTAAATAGATAAAGAAAAGGCTAAAAATAAGAACAAAAACAAAGACGCGTAAAGATAAATGCAAAAATGAATATCAAAGTAAATTTAAACACTTTACCCATATGCCTAAGGGCAAAGGTGAAGGGGAATATGTATGTAGTTGAAGAAAATTATACACATAAGAGTGAATACAAAGAAAAATATTAAGACAAAGACGAGGATAAGCATACCGAAAAAAGTAAAGATGCAGATAGAGGACGAAAGATCAAAACAAAGGTAATTATAAAGAAAAGGATAAAGATAGATACCTGGTTTATACCTACGCAAGAACCGCATTAACAAAAAGCCGACTTGACTCAACACATACATATTTCTTTTAAGCGTTTTTGCCTGTGTCTTTATACCGCACTCTCTGAAACCGTATTTAAAATTTCTTAAATAATTAATTTGCGCGGTTAACCGAAATGTAAGCAAACAATATTTCAAATTTATTATAATAATAATTGAAATCTAAAAATGGCTGTATGAAGAAAATCAGCATACTTTCACTTCTTGTCAAATGAATGATGTATTTATATGTACGTGATTTGTAACCGATGTGAGAAATAAAAAACTGATTTGAAAACAAATTCGAGCCAATACGCTTTTGAATTTCTGAGCGTATTGAAAGTTGGTTTATGCATTCGTTTTGCATCACAGCGAACTTGATCAAAGCGCCTTATGTGTCGGTATAAACATTGTTATGGACTCACCCTCGGAACTTTTTCGG